CCCCCCCCCCCCCCCGCCTCCCCCCATGGGAGCATCAGCTTCCCCTCCACCAGTTCTGCCCATCAACTGGGAAGCTGCTGCTTCAGCACGCAACTTATCTGCAAGGAACTCCTGCCCCCGTAGTTTTTTTTTTTTTTTAAAGGCTGTTTGTACATCAATAAAGACTTGATTAGCTACAAATGCTGGCTAGTTTGGAAGTTGGCTTCGGAGTCTTCCCAATAAACTGAGCAGAGTTTGGGCTGCCGGCCTCTGCATCTTAGGGTTGTGTAGGTGTCGGTGGGGGAATTCCTTTGCTCTAACCACAGCCCTGCAAACTCGCCAGTGTGATATAATGCAGCCATTTATACAAGAGGCCAAATTTCCGGCTGGCCTCTCGCGGACAGAGTAGCCTTTCAGACACCGGTTGGCCAAGTCTGCTGCCTCCCGGTGCCTTGCCACTACTGGTCCAAATTCTGCACCCGCACCTGAGCAGAACAGGCTGGTTTAGATTCTCTGCCTTTGGGGGCTAAAGTAGCTGAGCAGCCAAGTTAGAGATGTGTAGTGGATGGAGATGGGGGCAACCCAGGGGCAACTCTTCACTAGAGGTGGTGTTCAGCTGGTTCTGGCTGGTTCTGGAGAACCGGCAGCAGAAATTTTGAGTAGTTCAGAGAACCAGCCAATCCCTCCTCTGACTGGCCCCGCCAACCCCATCTCTTTTCTGCCTCCCATTGAGTCCCAGCTGATCGGCTGTGTCTTCTTTGGTTGCCTTGCACAGGAGAACGGAGCTGGAAAGCAGGTTAGTGGGGTGGGGAGGGAACGGGGATTTTGCAGTAACTTTCCCCTGCCACGCCCACCAAGCCACAGAACCGGTAGTACAAATTTTTGAATCCCACCACTGCTTTGCACTGCTTTGGTGTTTGGAGAAAAGAGACGGCCATTCGCTTCCCAAGACGCACTGCTTTGCGCAGGAACCCCAACAGTTGACCTGCAGAATTGCAGCCTCAATTTCCCTCACGTGCCCGCAACGCACATGACCACGTTTTGGGAGAGTTCCTTTTTCATCCCTAAAGCAATCTTTCCATGAACCCACCCTTCCAAGGAAAAACCAATGTTGTTCTTTATTTGGACTTACAGTAATCATTCCACGCAGTTGCCTTACATTGACTGACGGCGAACAATAACCAACCAAGCTGTGGGTCTGTCTTGGGCTAACTCAGAAAACCGGATTAAATAAACCATGCATAGGTGGACCTAAGAGGAGAACTAGGTTGGTGTGCAGGGGGGTGGGGGAAATCAGGAACCTGTAGCACCTTTTCAGCTAATAGCTCAGAAACCTACAGGTAGTTTTGACAGTCGGAAGAGGTGCTGCCGGGGTCCTGATTTTTAACCAAGGGCAATTGTGTCTTGCAAACACAGCTGTGCTGTCCCTGCCTCTTGACTGCACAAGATGGGTATCTGCACAAATGCATGGCTTATCGGGATTCTGGCAGTTACCTCAATTAAATCATGAGTCTCGAGCCCCACTCCCAAAACTTCAAAGGAGTTGAACCTGTCGGCATGATCTGGGTGTAGTCCATTCTGAGACAGTAATTCACTGTCACCCTTGACTTTGTTTTTCCCCCCCACCCCTCTGGGTGTATCATAATTCATATTCTCTAACAAACACGTCCATAGCCAAGAGTCGTCAATCATGCTCTCCAATTAGATTTTTGCACGGCAGAAACTTCAGTCATCTAGTCAGCCTCTGAAGAAAATATGAATGGAATGTACTTTCAATTCCACACTGCCATCTGCTCTTTGAAACTCCCCCCCCTTCTTTCTGTTTACAACTATAAAACGTGTATAGAAAAATTTTTATGAATTGACACAGTTAAGACGACCATGATTGCCCAATGCTTGTCAAAAAGATGCGGGTCTTAGATTGCATAGCTGGTTCCACCAGCTTTTTTGAACACCTTTTGTCCCTGGGGCTCAGGACCTTGTTTCCAATCCGGATCATTATTATTATTTTTGTGACTAGCCACAATATTTTTATGGCAGCCAAAGCATTTGACACAGGATGGCAACAAAACACCGTATTTTAATAAGTGATATCTATACATTAAATTTGGTTTGCTTATAAACGGGGACCACTTGTATCAAGTCTGAGCGAGGCTGTTTTAACGCAGGTGCCTGTAAATGATTCCCAGCTAGGATGGGAGGCAAGTTATTAAAAAAAACCACCAAACCAATTTCTGCCCAAAGGAGTCGCAGCCACCCAGCTCTCAAAGGAATGAAGTAATTGGGATGGTCCAGAAAAGTATCTGCCTCTTTTCGCCCAAATGGGGAGTAAATTCTACCATCAAGCCAAGCCAAAAAGGTTGCAATCCTGAGCAGCTGTTTTTTTTTATCCACACCCCGAGCAGAATTTTCAAGTTCTCTTGTGTTTAAAAGCCGCACAAAAACTTGCCTTCAGGCCGAGGGGAGCAGCTACACCTGGTAAAACCCACTGACCCACCCTGGGAGTTTGCTCTGCTGTCGCCTGCAAGGATTTATGTGCCTTCCAGCTGTTTCTGCCAGCGGTTGCAAGAACTCCCGTTGCTGTGCTTGGTCTTCCTTCAAGGGGCTTCCCATCCGTTGCTTCTCCCCAAAGCCTCTCTCTCGAAGGGGGAAGATCGTGGAGAAAATGTCCAGCCACGTGGAGAGGAAGGTCTGGTTCAGCAGAATCAAGGCTTGCTTTGGCCTCTTTTATTCTGGGTAGAGAGCTGCCCCCTCCAGATGTCCCTGCCACATCTGGTCCTGGCCTTCTCCAAAGCCCGACGGGGGGTTCCAAGGGGCTCAGAACTCATACTGGGAAACCAACAACGTGACCTTGAAGATGTGCTTCCCTAGAAGGATCTTCTGGGCAAACTCGCTCATTTCCACCTCGGCCTCCAGGACTGCTGGGCCCAGGACCGAGCGGGTCAGCACCAGCTCCCCTGTGTGCTGGTCCGAGCGCTGGACTGCCAGCCTCCCCTGGCTGTTGCCCCCTAGGAGGGCGAAGCGCAGGCTGTCCCCCAGAGAGCGGCTGGTGGACATCTTGAAAAGGACCCGGGGCACGGAGTGGTTGGACTGGAGGGGCAGGTAGTGGAAGGAGATGGCATGGGCGGATTTCTGGCAGGCTTGGCTCCCCATGGGGCAAGGGCTCCGTTCACACTGCCTGCGAAGAGGAGGTGGAAAAGAAACACCCAGTCAGGGCTAGCAAGAGTTTGACGCCCTCTTCTTAGGTGCCCCGAGACGGGTCTGAACTGGGGGGAAAGCATCCTGGCATCTAACAGCTGTCAGGTGGGAGCTTGCCTCTGGACATTTATTTTTTTATTTATCTAATTTATCAATTGCTTACAAGATAATAGGTATAAGTATAAACATGAGTAAGAATACAGGAAATAGGTACGAATAAAGGGGGACAATAGGACAGGGACGGGAGGCACGATGGTGCGCTTATGCACGCCCCTTACAGACCTCTTAGGAATGGGGTGAGGTCAATAGTGGATAGTTTGAGGTTAAAGGAGTGGAGGGGGGGGTTAGAGGATGTAGCAACAGAGTCAGGTAGTGCATTCCAGGCATTGACCACTCTGTTGCTGAAGTCATACTTCCTGCAATCGAGTTTGGAGTGGTTTACATTGAGGCTGTATCTGTTGTGTGCTCTTGTATTGTTGTGGTTTGATATAATGGCTGTTGGGTGGGCAAGGGCAGTCCAACACACCCATTTATCAAAAGACAGGTGGTTGAGCTGCCACTCCATTCCACAGGTCAAAAAGACCCAAGATGGACAATCGAGCCCAGCTTGCTTTTATGGCATAGGGTTGGCCACCATCTTGCTATTTTCTGATCCCTCCAGGCCAATTATCCTGGTCATGAATAACACTCAACTTTTCTGGCTGGGGCGGGGGGGGGGGGGTAGAGAGGAAAAGAGAATAAAAAGGGGAATAAAAAGAGGGCATTTCCTTAACTAATCTCCGTGGGCTGCCTGAGTTCTCTGGCAGGTAGGACCACTCTGTCTGCCTTTCAGTCCTTGTCGACTTCAGCCCAATTTTTTTGATAGGCATCGCCTGTTCCTGCAAGGGACCATCCTTTGATTCCCGACACCAGAAGGGTCAGTTCCTTGTTCGGAAACTCTTCCAAAATCTTAGCCCTGATGAGCACAGAAAGGCTGGAAGTCCGTTCTGGAATTCCTTGGGCCTCTTAGTTGGAAAGGACCTTGGAAGGTCTTCTAGTCCAGGCGTCTCCAATCTTAGCAACTTTAAGATTCGTGGACAAAGCTGGCTGAAGAATTCTGGGAGTCGAAGTCCACAAATCTTAAGTTGCCAAGGTTGGAGACCCCTGTTCTACTCCAACCTCCTGCCCAAGCAGGAGACTATATGATTTAAGACAAGTGGTTGTCCAATCTCTTCTTAAAAGCCTTCAGTGATGGAGCACTCCAACTTCTGAAGACAATCGTTGCACTGCTTAATTGTCCTCACACATTAGGAAGTTTCTTCTTAATTCCAGGTTGCTTCTCTCCTTGATTAGTTTCCATCCATTGGTTCTTGTCTTGCCTTCTGGTACTTTGGAGAATAGCAATAGCACTTAGATTTATAGACCGCTTCCCACTGGAAAGCACTTCTAAGTCAACCTCTTGCCCCCAACAATTTGGGTCCTCATTTTACCCACCTTGGAAGGACTGAGTCAACCTTGAGCTGGTGAGAATCAAACTGCTGGCAGTTGGCAGAATTAGCATGCAATACTGCATTCTAACCACTGGGCCACCATGGCTCTCAAAATAGGTTGGACCCCTCTTCTTTGTGGCAGCCCCTCAAATATTAGGACACTGCTATCATATGAAACCTATGAAGAACGGGTGCAGGAACTGGGCATGGCTAGTCTAGTGAAGAGAAGGACCAGGGGTGACATGATAGCAGTGATCCAATATTTGAGGGGCTGCCATAAAGAAGAGGGGGCCAAGCTAATCTCCAAAGCACAATAATGCAAGACAAGACACAATGGATGGAAACTAATCAAGGAGAGGAGCAACCTAGAAGTAAGGAAAAATTTCCTGACTGGTGCTTTGGAAAATAGGTCGACCCCCCACTTCTTTGTGGCAGCCCCTCAAATCCTGGAATATTGCTATCTTGTCCTTTTCACTAGACTCGCCCTTCCCAATTCCTGCTGTCCTCTTGAGCCCGCTAAGGACCCAGCCCTCCATCCTCATTCCTGGAGTTTCTACTTACGAGGCTGACGTCTTGACGTAAGTTGTGTTGAAGTGGGTCTTGGGGCATTCGGGTTTCACGCAACGGAAGCCCCCAAAGATGTTGACGCAAATCTGTCCGCGGCTGCAGTTGTCTTGACTCGTCGCACATTCATCCACATCTGGCAAAGACAACAACTGAGAGAGTCTGTCTCAGTGGTGGGATTCTGCCAGTTTCCCTACTAGTTTGGTGATCGCGCACTTCGCGTGTGCGTGCAACTCTCCAAAGCCCAGCTGAGGCTCTGCTGCGCCAATCAACTGAGAGGATAAAGAAGAGAAAAGCGCAGGGGGCCGGTGGGAGGGACGATCTTGCACTTTTCCCTTCTTTTATCCTGTCAGCTGATTGTCCGAGTTTATTTTTAACTGTCTGTTTTTGCTACCAGGTCAGCCATACCGGTCCAAACCAGTAGCATTTCACCACTGGTCTGTCTGCCTGTCTCAACGCTGGTGGTCTGGAGCCCTGCTGTGTCTTGGCAAACATTACAGACCCTCACCCTGCTCTGGGATTTTGGCGGAGGGTCAGAGCTGACCAGGGCTTCTGGCACTCTGCCACTTCGATCCCAGCAAGGACCCCCACAGCAAATAGGCAGGGATATGGATGCCAGCTCTGTGCAACTCCTCACTGCAACGCATGCTTGCTCTGAAGAGATCAATGTGGGGCAGGGCTGTGGCATCCATGCGCTGAGGGCAGCCCAGCCTCCCGGGACCTCTGGAATGAAGGGGGGCCGACACTTTCAGCCCCATGTTTTTGCATTTCATGCAGGTAGTTCTCGACTTACAACAGTTTTTTTAGTGACTGTTCAAAGTTGCAATAGCACCAAAAAAAGTTATGAACGTTTTTCACACTTAATGACAGTTGCAACATCCTCAGGATCATGTGATCAAAATTCAGATGCTTTGGCAACTGGTTCATGTTTATGACCGTTGCTGTGTCCTAAGGTCATGTGATCCCCTTTTGCGACCTTCAGACAAGCAAAGTGTTGGAATACATGTTAGCATGTATTTTTGCATTGCAACAACTACAGAATTATTCAGCCAGTAGATGGCAGTGTTTAGTTTGCCTCTATGGTTATAAACTATGGTTATAATCTATGTGTCAAGTCATAAAACATTTTGTATACACATTTTATAGTTGACAACAGAAAGAAGGGGGTGGAGTTTCAAAGAGCAGGCGGCAATGTGGAATCGAAAGTACCTTCCATTCATATTTTCTTCAGAGACCGACTAGATGACTGAAGCTTCTGCCCTGCAAAAATCTTGGCTATGTGCGTTTTTCGTTGGATGAAACACCCAGAGGAAAGAGGGAGAAAGCAGAATCAAGGGTGACAGTGAATTACGTATGTCAGAGTTGGCTCCGCCCAGGTAAATGCCGGATGTAGAATGTTACCTTCAAATAAATCTTTTTTAGTTTTTGGGAGTGTGGCTCGAGGCTCATGATTTAATTGGAGTAACTTCTGGAATCCTAACACTATGGCTATAATCTATGATAGTTGAGACAGTTAAGCAGCAAGGCCTATTGTGACTGTACACTGTACACTTTATTTGGGTTGTATGGTTATATAACCGTCCTCTGCTACCAATCTATATGGCTGTTTAATACAGATCCTCCTCTGCTTATAACAGTTCATTTAGTGACTATTCAAAGTTGCAATAGCACCGAAAAAAGTTATGAACATTTTTCACACTTATGACCGTTGCAGCATCGCCAGGGTCATGTGATCAAAATTCAGATGCTTGGCAACTGGTTCATACTTATGACCGTCACTATGTCGCCAAGCAACCGTGCAATAAGCAAAGTCAATGGAGAAGCCAGATTCACGTAACAACTAGGTTAATAACTTGTCAACTGCAGTTATTCACTTAACAATGGAAGGTCATAAAATGGGACAAAATTCACTGAACAGCTTACTTAACAACATAAATTTTGGGCTCAATGATGGTCGTAAGTCGAGGACTACGTCTAGTCCTCTGCTACAATTTCCATGCAATTCAAACAAAGTTTCTACAGAATAAAACAGAATTTTGAACACAAAGCCAAGGGGGAAGACGGATTCACTTAAAAAACTGGGTTACTAACTTACCAAGTGCAGTGATTCACTTAACAACTGTGGCAAGAAAGGTCATAAAATGGGGCAAAATCCTCACTGAACCAATGTCTTGCTTAAGAACAAAAAATTTGGGCTCAATTGTGGTTGTAAGTCAAGGACTACCTGTACTTTAAAACACACACACACACACACACAGAGCTCTGCCTCTGATCATCAACTTTTAATGACCCCATAATCCCTTGCAGGGTAGAGTCTGGGAAATTGAATGGAGCTGAGTGTTTACTGGCCGGATGCCCTTCTTGTCACCAATGCAGAGTTTTGTCCAGCAGATATATATTCTCATTGTGCCCAGAGAGAGAAATATCGGCCTCTACCTGGGATCGAACTCATAGCCTCCTGATTGTGAGGCGAGAGCTCTGTCTCTAGGCCATCGCACCACTCACACAGCCAGCCTGATGAGGAGGGTAAAAGGGTTCTATGGTTCTACAATTGATTCACGAGAATGGGAAGGACTCACCGCTGCAGATGTTCTGCTCAGCCTGAAACCGGTAGCCGGGCGGACAGGTGCACTGATAAGACCCAGGTAGGTTCACACATTCGTGGAGGCAGATCCGGGTGTGATAGTTGGATTGGTACAGCTGGCACTCATCCACATCTGCAGCAGAGCAGAAAGCTGCTGAGTGGGTCCCCAGGGGCAAGAAAGGAACTCCCCAATCCCTTGACAGATTAACAGAGTTGGAAGGGACCTTGGAGGTCATCTAGTCCAACCCCCTGCCCAAGCAGGAGATCCTAACACCATTTCTGACAGGTGATAGTCCATTCTCTTCTTGAGAGCTTCCAGGGATGAAGCTCCCACAACTTCTGAGGGCAACTTCTGTTCCATGGGTTGATTGCTCTCCCTGTCAGAAAATTTCTCCTTATTTCCAGGTTGAATCTCTCCTTGGTCAGTTTCCATCCATTATTCCTTTTCTGGCCTTCAGGTGCCTTGGAGAATAGCTTGACCCCCCTCCTCCTCTCTGAGGCAGCCCCTCAAATATTGGAAGATGCTCTCCTGTCTCCCCTGGTCCTTCTCTTTCTGGCCTTCCTGAACTTCTGGGAGGCCCATTTTCCACCCTCCCCGAGCCTCCACACGCTCCCTGCAGATACCTGCATCCAAAACGGGCCACGTGGGGATTCCGGGGAGGGGAGGGGTGGGCGAGGCCAGCCAGGAGTGGGATTTGGGGGTTCTCTGAACTGCACAGAATCTTAGTTGGGGGGTCTCCCGAACCCCCCATGACCCCCCAGCAGCCCACCTCTATAGGGTTACTCGTGTGCCCCCACCCCATAATCTTACCTTGACACATGCCTCCCCTCGTCAACAGGAAGCCGCCATCGCAGCTGCATTGGCGGGAGCCCCCCGGATTCTCGATGCAGCGGGGTTGACGGCTGAACGTTGCGTTGCTCACAGCTGCCCTGTCTGTGGTCAAGAGGTGGCCGTTAGGGTGGACGTTAAGTGAGACAAACGAGCAGAGCAGAGGTTGGGGAAGAGGTGGCACCCTCGGGGGGGGGGGGTGTCTCCTCGCTGCACAGGCTTTTTACAGCCTCCGCTAGAGGTAGTGCTCTACTTATGACCGGTTATTTAGTGACTACAGGTAGTCCTCCACTTACAACAGTTCCTTTAGTGACCGTTCAAAGGTACAACGGCACTGAAAAAAAGTGACTTATGACCGTTTTTCAGAAGTTACGCTCGTTGCAGTATGGCCATAGTCACGGGATCAAAATTCGGATGCTTTTTCAGATGATTCGTACTTATGATGTTGATTCATACTTATGACTCCTGGGGACAGGAGACCCTACAGTATTTCTGACAGAGGGCAGTCCAGTCTCTTCTTGAAAGCCTCCAGGGATGAAGCTCCCACAACTTCTGAGGGCAACTTCTGTTCCATTTGGTTAATTGTTCTGTCAAGAAAGTTCCTCCTTATTTCCAGGTTGAATCTCTTCTCCTTGTTCAGTTTCCATCCATTATTTCTTGTTTGGCCTTCGGGGGCTTTGGACAATACCCCCCCCCTCTGTGGCAGCCCCTCAGATATTGGAAGGCTGCTATCCTGTCTCCCCTGGTCCTTCTTCTCCCTAGACTAGCCAGGCCCAGTTCCTGCAACCATTCATGGTTCGTTGTATGTTTAGTCTTGAGTCCCCTAATCTTAACAGATTAACAGAGTTGGAAGGGACCTTGTAGGTCATCTAGTCCAACCCCCAGCCCAAAACAGGAAACTCCCACAACTTCCGAAGGGCAACTTCTGTTCCTTGGGTTCCATGGGTTGAGGGCACAACAGCGACTGCATTTTCTGCCTCTTATGAGAAAAGATGCAGAAAAGAAGCACACCTTCCTTCCCTTGTCCTAACCACTTTCTATAGAGGGACCATTGAGAGCCTCCTGTTGTATATTATATTACTGCTTGGTTTGGAAGTATAAGTAGACCTTGACTTACAACAGTTCTTTTAGTGATCATTCAAAGTTACAATGGCACTGAAAAATGTGACTTAACAGATAACAGATAATCAGAGTTGGAAGGGACTTTGTAGGTCATCTAGTCCAACCCCCCACCCAAGCAGGAGACCCTACACCATTTCTGACAGATGGCAGTCTAATCTCCCCTTGAAAGCCTCCAGTGATGAAGCTCCCACAACTTCTGAAGGCAACTCCTGTTCCTTCAGTTGATTGTTCTCACTGTCAGAAAATTCCTCCTTATTTCCAGGTTGAATCTCTCCCTTGTTCAGTTTCCATCCATTGTCTGGCCCTCAGGTACCTTGGAAAATAGCTTGACCCTTTCCTTCTCTCTGTGGCAGCCCCTCAAATACTGGAAGACTGCTGTCCAGTCACCCCGGTCCTTCTCTTCACTACTTGAGCCAAGCTTTCCTCCAGTGAGGACACAGAGGCACCCCTGTTGTTTCTGTCCTCCCTGCCTGGCCTAGAGTCTCCCATCTCAGCCACCACCTGCTGAGAGACACCCTCCCACCTTGCAATCTGGTCCAATGGAGGCCTCTGGCAATTAAACACCGACCCTCTCTAAGCAGGGATGATGCAGGGGGTCAGAATATATATCGCTCCGGGGTTGGGAGCCCCCGCATCCAAGTCCCTGCTTGGAAAGTGTCCCCACAGCTCCATTGCCCTCCCTTCCTCCCTCTTTCTACCCCTCAAGGGATTAAAGCAGAGGTCTCCAAACTTGGCAACTTTAAGACTTGTGGACTTCAACTCCCAGAATTCTCCAGCCAGCCTAGCTGGCTGGAGAATTCTGGGAGTTGAAGTCCACAAGTCTTAAAATTGCCAAGTTTGAGGACCCCTGGATTAAAGGATCAAACAGCCAGTCCTGCTTTTTGGATCTTTAGGATTCAAACCAGGCTCAATAGCAGTAACTGTGAGAGGGATCTTGGAGTCTTAGTGGACAGCCAGCTAAATGTGAGCCAGCAGTGTGCAGCAGCCGCCGCCCAAAAAGCCAATGCAATCCTAAGTTGCATTAACAGAGGGATACAATCAAGATCAAGTGAGGTACTAAAACCACTCTACAAAGCCTTAGTAAGACCACACCTAGAGTACTGCATCCAGTTTTGGTCACCACACTATAAAAAAGATGAGACTTTAGAAAAAGTACAGGGAAGAGCAACCAGGATGATGAGGGGACTGGAGCCTAAAATATACAATGAACAGTTACAGGAACTGGGCCTGGCTAGTCTAGGGAAGAGAAGGACCAGGGGAGACAGGAGAGCAGTGATCCAATATTTGAGAGGCTGCCACAAGAGAGGAGGAAGGGGTCAAGCTATTTTCTAAAGCAACCAAAGGCCAGACAAGAAATAATGGATGGAAACTGAACAAGGAGAGATTCAACCTGGAAATAAGGAGGAATTTCCTAGAGAACAATCCACCCATGGAACAGAAGTTTCCTTCGGAAGTTGTGGGATCTTCATCCCTGGAGGCTTTCAAGTAGAGACTGGACTGCCCTCTGTCAGAAATAGTGTAGGGTCTCCTGCTTGGGCGGGGGGTTGGACTAGATGACCTACAAGGTCCCTTCCAACTCTGATTATCTGTTATCTGCTGTTTTGCTAATGCAGCCCCAAGGACAGGGGAGGGATTCAACCAGTGTAACAAGCAGTTCGGTGAGCGCACGCTTTGCACACGCAAGCGGCGTTTGCAACTCACCTTCTGCTGCAAAGCCTGTGTGTGAAAGAGCTGAGGTGCAGCAATCTGCGGTGCCTTGCGAATCAGCTGAGGTGGAAAACCCGGAAATAAAGCACAGACTAGAGCCCGGCTGGGCAGGCCCAACAGCTGATCATCGTTTCACTCACAAGCTGATCTTTGGAGCAACCGGTTCGCCTGAACCGTCCCGAACCGGTAGAATCCCACCCGCTGCCCAGGCCGTTCTGTCACTTACGGGCATGAAGGGGAGCCTGGCAGTTGCTCCCTGACCAGCCGCTGGGGCACAAGCAGCTGTAGCGAGGAACAGCATCCACACAGGTCCCTCCGTTGGCACAGGGCCGACTGGCACAATCGCTGGTGCCTGGTTGGGGAATAAAAGAACGCAGAGATGCTTCGTTTGGCCAAGGGTTGAGATGCAGCCCTCGCCTCCCCTGGCAGGACTCCGGTTGTGGCCGAATGCCACCCGCTCTGCAGACACAGGAACAAGGGGCGAATGTTGTATAAAAGACCATGTCAACTCATATTTCTCTGGTCTTTTTAGAGTCGCCAACAGAAAGGGAGGGGGGAGCAGTGCGGCCACTTGCAAACTGAAACTGCATTCCATAAGTTACGATATACCCAGGGGGCGGAGGAAAACCAGCAACAGTTCGAAGTTACAACGGCGCCGAAAAAAGTGACTTGTGACCGTTTTTCATGTTTATGACCGTTGCACCATCCCCCTGGCCATGTGATTAAAATTCAGATGCTTGGCAACTGGTTCATCCTTACGACTATCGCTGCGTCCCAAAGACATGATTGCCTTTTGCAACCGTTCGACAAGCAACGTCAATGGGGAAGCCAGGTTCAGTTATTTACTCATTTAACATCTGCAGTTATTCACTTAACAACGGTGGCAAGAAAAGTCGTAAAATGGGGCAAAACTCTGTAACAGAAATCTGTTGAGTGAGCTTTGTCCCTTTTTATGACTTTTCTTGCCACCGTTGTTAAGTGGATCACTGCAGATGTTAAGTTTCTCTGTTAACATAAATTCAGGGCTCAATTGTGATCGTTAAGTCGAGGCGACCTGGATGTGCACCTGGGAAGCGAGTGTCAAGGTATTGAGAATTAATAGTTGACCAAAAGGCTGATGCAATGAGGATGAATCAGCAAGGTTATTGCCACTTTAAGACTGAGGATGGGTCCCACAGGGTTTTACCACTTTAAGAAGCTGTCTATATATATGAAGCTATGAGAGGGTGTGTCTCTCTCTCCTTCTGTTCTGTCTCCATTGTGGTTCTCTGTGCAGAGTAATGAAGATTGATTGCTTGCCAGGGATTTGCCTACCACATATATGTAAGTACATAGCTGTCTGGTATATAAACCATTGCTAAAAGACAAAGCCTCTGTGTGCTCTATTTTGCTTCTGGGTTGTCTCACAATAGGAGTCATACTGCAAACACTCTCAGAGTGTGACTTCTTAAAAGTCAGGATCACGAGTGGGAGACCTCTGTTGCCACCTACTTTTGCAGAAGGCCTGCTGTCCACTCCAGGTTCTGTTCTTCAAGCAGACCCGCGTCTCAGACCCGGCCAGCGCAAAGCCAGGATTGCAGACAAAATGGACCTCCTTCCCAATGGCCGTTCCCCTGCCCAGCCTCCTGCCGTTGGAGGGTGCAGAAGGAGGGGTGCAGCTCTCTGCAGGGAGCAGGAAGGGAGAAGAAACAAGGTGGAAACGTTTTCTTGGTTCCTCGGGATATTCCTGGTTTAATCAGAAACACCTTAGAGCTGAGAAATCCCAACTGCAAAGGGCCAGACCCCGTTGCTAATTTCTTGTGGCATCTCTGTTCATAGAAACTTCAAAGAAAAAGAGTTGAGGGGTGGGAATTAAAAACTTCCTGAGCAAACTTCAAAGGCTATTTTCCAGTGGGGAAAATGCCAGCAGACTCAAACACAGTCTTCCCGTGAAATCGGTTGTGGTTAAAAAAAATAAAATAAAACTAAATAAAATAGTATCTGAAATGCTCTTGGATTTATTTTAACCATGATGCATTAAATGTACAGTATGATGAATCCGAATAGATCCCTTCAGTTCTATTCTGATAGATTAATTCTTAAAAACCTCCACAACTTCTGAAGGCAAGCTGTTCCACTGGTTAATTGTTCTCACTGTTAGGATGTTTCAGGCTGCCACCTCCATCACTTGTAACTAACAGGACCACTGGAAGAAATTTGCCACCTTCCTTTTCCTTCTCCCCCGTTTCCCCTTTTCCTTTGGTGACATGTCTTTTTTAGACTCTAACCGTTAGCTAATTCCAAGGAATAACGTGGGCTAAATAATCAGCAAAGACCTTTCTATTATACCCTGTCAGATTTGGAAGGAGCCTGATTGCAGATAATCCACAACAAGTCTATTGGTCTTCTACAAGGCAGATCTGGATTCAGATCCAGCCTTGAAACAACCCACCTGTCAACTCATAAAATATTTCTCTGGTCTGTTTAGAGTTGCCAACAGAAAGTGAGGGGGAGTAATGCAGCAGCTTGCAAACCAAAATTGCATTCCATAAATGTTTTCAAAGATAGTAACTAGGTGACTGAAGTTTCTGCTGTGCAAAATTCTAACTAGAGAGCATGATTGATGACTCTTGGCTATGGAGGTGCCCCATTGGAGAATATGAATTATGATACACCCGGGGGTGGGTGGGTGACAATGAATGATGTGTCTCAGAGTCGGCTACACCCAGGCAATGCCGAACAGTTTAACTCCCAATAAATCATTTTTAAGTTTTGGAAGTTTGGCTCGAGACTCATGATTTAAATGGGGGTAACTACCGGAATCCTGACACCACCTAGCAAGGTTGGACACATGTCAGCATGGCTGAGAAAAAAAACTTTAAACTTTATTCATTTTCATCCCAATGAAATCAACTCCACACCCTTTTCCCCTGGATTTTGCGGTCTCTGATTCCACGTGGAGGGGTGTGTGAGGTGTGTGTGTGTCAAAAGAAGCAAGATGGTGCCTGTAACCTACACAATAGACGCCATCTTGACTTTTTTGGCCCACCTCTTGGTTTGCCCTTACCATTCTGCTTGGCCGGCGGCTTTTGGGCACCGGCTGGCAGGAGCGCCAGCTGCTTCTTCAGGTTTCGCAGGCTGCGCATCTGGGCCACCTCGTAAGCCGAGAGCAGCTTCTGCATCTGTTGGAGGGTGGCTGCGACGTGGTGCTTGCTCAGGCAGTTCTGGGCAGAGGGAGGAGAGTGGAGCCAGTTGGGAAGGAGCCCCCACACGCCCCCCCGAAATCAGATCAGCCTAAAACAGGGGTGTTAAACTCAAGGCCTGTGGGCCACATTCGGCCTGCAGGGAACTTAGATCTGGACCATGGAGTTGCCCTGGAAACAGCAAAGGACTAGCCTGTGGTGCCTCTGCCAGCGTAAAGGAAGCTCGGGAGGGCTTTGCGTGGGCCCCATTTTCGCGGGCAGAGGGCTACCAAAACAAACTAAAAACAAAACAAAAGGCTTCCCCTTTTGCATTTAAGCATGCAAGAAGGGACAGGAAAGGAGAAAGGGAAAGAGGAAAGACGGGAAGAGAGCGAGGAAGGAAAAATAAGGAAAGGAGAAGGAAGAAGAAGAAAAGGAAGGCAGGAAGGAAAAGAAGGAACAGAAGGAAAGAAGGAAAGGAAGGAAAGAAAGGAAGGGAAAGGAAGGAAGCAGGGGTGGGATTCTACTGGTTCGCACCTATTCACTAGAACCGGTTGTTAACAATCTAAGCAATTTGGAGAACCGGTTGTTAGAAGAAATTACTGGCCTAATCCTGTAAGGAAGGCAGGAAGGAAACATTCTGGTGTTGCTTACAGAAACTGCCTCTCCATTAACCCTTATTCCATTCTTGGCAGGACTGGACTTCCTGTCTCTGGAACTTCTCTGGAGTTTTTTTCCCCTCCTTTGCTGGTCCTTTGCTTGTGTGGAGTGACCATTCAAAGTTACAATGGCACTGAAAAAAGTGACTTATGACCCTTTTTCACACTTACGACTGTTACAGTATCCCCACAGTCATGGGAGGCCAGGCGAGGAGATGCATGCCTCGATGTGAGTGATGTTGAGTTGGCCACATCCAGCCAATAACATGACCACCAAGCCATGCCCACCCAGTCACATGACTACCAACCCACGCCCACCACCTAAGCCACGCCCACAGAACCAAGTTGTTTAAAAATTTGAATCCCACCCCTGGAAGGAAGGAAAGGAAGGAAGGAAGGAAAAGAAGGAAGGAAGGAAGGAAGGAAGGAAAGGAAGGAAGGAAGGGAAGGAAAGAAGGAAGGAAGATTATAACAAGAGTGAGGGAGGGTCTCAGGGAAGTCCTACCTTAGCACTTGGCCACTACTGGTGCCCCCAACATGAGTGACCCACCCTGCCCATGCCTATCCCAGCCATGCTCTCCCCCCAGGTCGAACACAACCCTGGTGGGTCCCTCAATGAAATCGAGCTTGACACCCCCGGCCTAAAGGGGTTTTCTTCCGGCTGGCACCTCCTCGGGGCCAGCACCCAATCCGCCAGGATCGCTGGGCAGTGAAAAGCCAACTTGTGCTTGTGGACACCAGGGATTTAAATCTCGTCTTTGTATATAGGCAGTCCTCGACTTACAATAGCTCACTGAGTGACCAAAGGGACAACTCCATTGAAAAAAGTGACTAACGGTCGTTTTTCACACTTACGACCGTCACAGCATCCCTGCGATCACATGATCAAAATTCAGACGCTTGGCAACTGACTCCCATTTATGACAGTTGTAGTGCCTTGGGCGTCACATGACCTTCTGACAAGCAATGGGGCAAAGCCTGATTCATTTAACAACCATGTTACTAACTGAAGAACCGCAGAGATTCAGAGAAAAGTCATAAAATGGGGCAAAATTCACTTCACAAATGTTTCGCTTAGCAATGGAAATTTTGGACTCCATTGTGGTCATAAATCAAGGACTACCAGTGTTTTACGAATAACTTAAAGTGATGAACATCTCCAACACGCCTTCCACCTCCTAGTTTCCCCACAACAACAACAACAACAACAACAACAACCAGCTCTGAGGGGAGTTTAGGCTGAGGGTGACTGGTCCAAAGTCCTCCAGCTAAGGCAGGACTTGAACTCTTTTAAAAAAATCTTTTTTATCTATTTTGACAACAAACATTGACAAATACAAACATAAAACATCAAATAAAACCATCTTCCCATTATACAGTATGTTGGTTGGTACATATCTCTTGTGCACAATATCAACAGTCTTTTCCTTCTAAATTTAGATTAGAATTCATATTATATAGATCAACTATGCATACTACATTATTATTATTGACTCCTTATTAGACTATAATTATAAATTCACATCATCCTTTTTGAGCAAATCTCAACTTTTACAAACCTAGTTCATACTATCATTCATTTCATTATAATCAGTTGTATTATATCATTACATTATCTTATCTGTACTATTATGCTATATTATTATATTTTATTTCCCCATTTTCTTATCTAACCATTGATAAACACAAATCCCATATTTTATAATATTCTTTATCTTCTTGCTCTCTAATTTCTAATGTTTACTCATTTCTGCACATTCTATTATTTTCTTAATCACCTCCTCCTCTATTGGAATTTTTTCACTTTTCCAGTTTTTAGCAAATACAATTCTAGCTGCTGTTAAAACATTGGGACTTGAACTCTTGATTCTGTAGTTGCCATCTTGACTTTTCTGACCTCACACTCTTCTGTGGACACTGTTGCTACAAGGAATGATGGGAACTCTATTTCCCAATGTACTGGGAGAGGCAACTTTGGACATGCACGTTTTAGATCATGATCACAGACGGTTGTAAGTTGCCAAAGAAAACTTTTGGAGAGCGAAGTCTAAATATTGAGAATGCATGAATAAATGAATATCCTTGGCTTTTGGCTCCTGGCCACCCAACCCAGGAACAGCTGGTCTGTGTCTCCTCGGTTCCCCAGCCCCATGCTCCTGGGCTCTTGTTCTGACCCAACTGGGTTCCCACAGAGCAAACACAGACAAAGGCAGCAGCCCCCACCTTTTAAGGTTTAATAAGGAATGCTGTTCCTTTACAGATAAAAGGCTGCTAATTAGCTCCGACAAGAAAGAGCCTTGCCAAGATGTTCATCAATGCTGCCAAAAACCCAGAGATAAGAATTTACAAAATTCTCCAAACACGAACTAAGATGTCCACAAGTTGAGCTTCAGAGCTTCTTTGCTGTCTGCAAAGAACGCTTTTCCAAACCTGGCTTTTATCCTCTTGAGGGAGGGGGCCATTACCTTGCAGCCTTACTCCCAAGTCGCCTGTGCTGCTGTAACTGCTTCTTCCTCCGAGCAATCCTTTGTGCACGTGCACTTGGCACAGGCTCCTCAGGAACCTCCTCATCACTGCTACCAGCCCCCACAATCTCTGAAGGCAGCAGTCCACTCCCTGGTGGTCCTGGCCCCTCATCAAAGTCATCGCTCTCCTCAGCCATCTGCACCTGCTGTCAGCTAACCACAACAGCTCTGCTGGGCATCACCTTTTCTCAGCCCTTTCCACGTCCTCTTACCTGGGTACTGCTAAGGGGCAGAGGGAGGATCCCAAGGACCATCACGAGGGTGGCTAATCTGGGTAACATCTTCTGCTGTCCAAGAGATGGGAGAAGGGGAATGGCTTCCTGCACCATCCTCCCCTCTCCTTAAACTAAGGAGGAGAAGAGAGAAGAAAAGTTAAATGAAGCTGGACATTCAGTTCTGGTCATTGGCAAAGAAGTCAACATTCTATTCCCAGTTTAGAATGAAGGAGCTGGAAGGGACCTGGGAGGTCTTCTAGTCCAGCCCCCTGCTCAAGCAGGAGAACCTATACTATTTCAGATAAGTGACTGTCTAGAGCAGTGATGGATGAACCTATGGCATGTGTGCCACAGATAGTTCTGACCCATACTCTTTTCCAACAAACAATCCAAAAGGAACAGAAACCTTGTAATGCTTTTGCAAAGTAATTAGCTGTGATAAGCACAAGTCTTTCCAAACTGTGCAAGACTTGCCAAAAGATAACAGACAAGAAATAATTTGCAAAATAAGAATCTTCAAATACAAACTCAGGATACTAGAATGTCCACGAGGCTGGAGTTTCAAAACGTCTTTGCCTTCTGCAAAGTATGTTCGTTTCACAGCTGGCTTTTATCTTCTTAAAGGAGGGGCCATTACCTTGCAGCCTTACTCCCGAGTCGCCCGTGCTGTTGTAACTGCTCTTTCCTGTGAGCAATCCTGTGTGCATGTGCACTGGGCACAGGCTCCTCGTGAACCTCCTCATCGCTGCTGCCAGCCCCCACAATCTCTGAAGGCAGCAGTCCACTCCCTGATGGTCCTGGCCCCTCATCCGAGTCCTCGCTCTCCTCAGTCGTCCGCACCTGCTGCTGGCTAACCACAACACAGGTGGCATGCAAAGCCCTCTCTGCGGGCACGCCAGCCATCACCCAGCCCAGCTCCACTGCACATGCACATGCCTCCTGGCAGCCAGCTGCTGTTTGGGTCTCTGCCATGCATGCACGGGGGTGGGGCCTTCGATGATCTTCGCAGTTTCCCCGCAGTTTCTCCTGCACTCCTGCCACCCGTGCCTTCCCAGATCTCCGCATGCTCCACCCTCCGCAGGTGCCTCTCCGTGGCAGGCATGGAGGAGAACACCTGGGCGTGCTGAGGACAGGAGGGGGAGAAAACCTGTGGAGATTGCGAGCCCCCCCCCCGCGCCCCTTTTTGGGCCTGAAAAGCCTCCTGTACCAACTTGGAAGCCAAAACGGGGGACGGAGGCCAGGGTGCATGCGCAGGGGGCCCACATGCGTAAGGAATGCACGGGGCGGGGTGCATTGCATTTTGGGGGTTGGGGGCCTGCGCATGTGCATTCATGCACATGCTTTGGGCACTCTGCACCAAAAAGCTTAAACATCACTGGTCTAGAGAATCTTCTTAAAAACCTCCAGGGATGGAGCGCCCACGGTTTCTGGAGGCAAGCTGTTCCACTGGTTAATTGTCCTCCCTGTGAGGAAATGTCTCCTCAATTCCAGGTTGCTTCTCTCCTTGATTAGTTTCCATTCATTGTTTCTTTTCTGGCCTTCTGGTGCTTTGGAGCATAATTTGACCCCCCTCCTCTTTGTGGCAGCCCTTCAAATATTGGAATACTGCTATTACGTCACCCGCTGGTCCTTCTCTTCCCAGCCAGCCATGCCCAGTTCCTACAATTGTTCTCCATATGGTTTAGTCTTCAGGCCATTAATCAACTTAGTTGCTCTTCTCTGAACTTTTTCCAAGGTCTCAACATTTTTTTTGTCCTTCTCCGGCATAGGAGAGCAGACCTTCTCCACCATTTTCCTTCCCGACCCATCCCACATTTTGGGAAGAGATTGCAAACCAACACGAATCGACTTATTCTTCGAAGCTGTTGACGATAGGACGAGAAGCAACGGATGCCAGCTAGCCAGAGGAAGATCCAACCTGGAAATAAGAAGGGGTTTCCTGACAATGAGAAGGATTAAGCAAGGGAACAGCTTGACTCCTGGAGTTGGGGTGTCAAGAAAAGATTGGACAGCTGTTGGTCTGGGATGGAATAAGGATTGTTCTTCTCTTGGGAGTCTATTGGAGGGTGCCTGGGTCAGCCCCCCTCCCCAGCACCTGGGGGTGGGGGCAAGGTGTTGTCAACTGGGGAAACACATTGGGCTCCCCAGCTTGTCTTAACAGAGTTGGAAGGGACCTTGTGGGTCATCTAGTCCAACCCCCCACCATACAGGAGACACCATTTCTGACAGATGGCAGTCCAGTCTCTTCTTGAAAGCCTCCAGGGATGAAGCTCCCACAACTTCTGAAGGCAAGTTCTGTCCCAGGGGTTGATTGTTCTCACACTCAGAAAAATTCTAATTTCCAGGTTGAATCTCTCCTAGTTCAGTTTCCATCCATTATTCCTTGTTCTGGTCTTCGGGTGCTTTAGAACAGGGGTCTCCAACCTTGGCAACTTTAAGACTTGTGGACTTCAACTCCCAGAATTCCTCAGCCAGCTTTGCTGAGAAATTCAATTCTGGGAGTTGAAGTCCACAAATCTTAAAGTTGCCAAAGTTGGAGACCCCTGCTTTAGAAAATAGTTTGACCCCTTCCTCTCTGTGGCAGCCCCTCAAATATTGGAAGATGCTGTGTCACTCCTTGTCCTTCTCTTCAGTAGACTAGCCAAACCCTATTTCTGCAACCGATCTTCATAGGAACAGAACAGAAAAACAGAGTTGGAAGGGACCTTGTAGGTCATCTAGTCCAACCCTCTGCCCAAGCAGACCCAACACCATTTCTGACAGATGTCAAGTTAAACTTAAAGCTGTCAAGTTTGAAGACCCCCCGCCCTACACCACTTCTGACAGAGGGCAGTCCAGTCTCTTCTTGAAAGTCTCCAGTGATGAAACTTCTGAAGGCAAATTCTGTTCCATCGGTTGATTGTTCTCAGTCAGAAAATCCCTCCTTATTTCCAGGTTGAATCTCTCCTGGTTCAGCTTCCATCCATTATTCCTTGTCTGGTTCTCAGGTGCCTTGGAAAACAGCTTGACCCCTTCCTCCTCTCTGGGGCAACCCCTCAAATATTGGAGCACTGAGCTCATGTCCCCGCTGGTCCTTCTCTTCTCTCGAGTAGCCAGGCCCAGATCCTGCAAGCGAGCTGAGGGGATGGGTGGGGGTGTCTGGAAACGGTCCCCCCCCACTTCCCCTGTGCAGGAGAAACCTCTGGGTGCCCCCCCCCCCCCCCCCCCCGGGGCCCCCCACCCCCCCCCCCCCCCCCCCCGCCACTTGCCAGGGGAGCCGCTGCCCACCCTGGTCAGAGGGGCAAAGGGAGGGTCGGTGAGAGGAAGGCGGGGGGGGCGGGGGGGCAGCAGGCGAAGCCAGACGGGGGCTGAGGTGGCGGGGAGGGAAGGGGGAGCTAACCGGGACGATGCCCCTCAAAAGCCTCCGATGTGGCTGCGGGCCCCTCCCTTCTCCAAAGGAGGGTGGAAAAGAGCCGGGATGGCAGGAAGGGGGCGGCGAGGGGACCCACCTGGCTGAGGGTCTCCCCGGCAAGGCTCCTCTCCTCCTGCCCGTCAAGCGCTCGCCCGGCTGCCTTTTATAGGCCCCCCCACCCCGGCCGGCCAGGCCTCGCCCCGCGTGGGAGGCGGAGGCGCCTCTGCTGGGCAGCCGCTCCCTGGACGGGGCGGGGGAGGTGGGTGGTCACCTGTCCCGCAGCAGCTGGGCTTCCCGGTCCCCCAGCCACCCACCCAGTCCGGCTGCTGGGCTTTGGCCGTCGAAGGAGCCGCGGGGGCGGTCGAGGCAGCAGCCCTTCCTTAAGCGGGCGGCCGACGGGTGCGGGGTGGGGGGCGCGGTGGGGGGGGGGGGCGGGGGGGGGGGGGGGGGGGGGGGGCGGGCTGGACTGGATGACCTCCAAGGTCCCTTTCCAGCTCTATGCTGATTGATTCAACCAAAAAATAAGGAGAAGTTTTCTGACAGAGAGAACTATCAACCGATGGAACAGAGACTGTCTACTCTTGACCTCACCCCTTTCCTAAGAGGTCTGCATGAGCACACCCACGGGCCTACCGTCCCTGTCCTATTGTTTCTTTTATTTTTTTATTTTACTTATATGTATTCATGTATTCATAACTATGTTTTTTTTACTTATACCTATTATCTTGTAAGCAATTGAAATAAATAAATAATAAATAAATAAATAAAGTAAGTAAGTAAGTAAGTAAGTAAGTAAGTAAGTAAGTAAGTAAGTAAGTAAGTAAGTAAGTAAGTTGCCTTCAGAAGTTGTGGGAGCTTCATCCCTGGAGGCTTTCAAAAAGAGACTGGGCTGCCAAAATAAAATAAAATAAAATAAAATATTTATTGAAAATAAAACCTGGCCTCCAACATGGAGCTGAGGAGAAAAACAAACAAACCCGTAGCTCTTCCTGAAGCGAAGATGAAGGCGAGCTCTTCTCTGAAAATATTCAGAGGGGGGGAATTCAAGCAACCACTTTGGAAAAGCCTCCATAGCCAGGTGGGGGGCTGGATCCCTCCTAGTAAAGAAGGGGACCCCCTGCCCCCCCCTCCATTTTGCTGGCCCTGTTGAACAGAAACCACAGCTGGAGACCCTCCCCCTCCCCATGTCCCTGGAAAGGTGCCAGGGATGGGCGAAGAGGAAGGGCGGGGGGGGGGGCTGTGGCTGCCCTTCAGCGCCCCCTGAAAATGGGGGAGTGGGGTGGGGGAAGCTGCCAGCCTGGGCAAGAAGCCTGGCCTGGAGGAGGGGGGGGTGCAGGAGGAGAGTGGCCCCCAGGCAGAGGCAGAGAGCCAGGTCGGTGCTGATGCAGGCCCCCCCACCCCACCCCTGGTATGAGGGATGTGGGGAGGTTGGCAGGCTGCATGGAAGCGAGCAGAGACTTAAACAAGCCCAGAGACAAAAGGCAACTCAACCCAGGCGCCAAGAAACCTCCTGAGACGCCCGTTCAGATTACTCAGGGAGGCCCCACCTTAATGAATCTATTTTTAAAAAGAGAGACAGAAGGCTATTGAGCCTGGGGTGTCCTTCTTAGCATTTCCAAGACTTTCACCTAGGGTTGAGGAGGGCTTA